ATTTACTGTTGCAGCTTATATTATTATATTTGAAATATGGTTACTCGCATTGAATCAAAATTAAATGTGAATTAAAAGTTTGAAGGTTTCAAATACTTTTAATTTGAAAAGTGTATCTACTGACATGTATGGTATAATTTTGTTTTATGAATTCTATTATTTTTATTAATCTTGATGAAGGAAAATTCAAGAAGGTGAATGTCGGGGATTATGAGTTATAATTCTAAATCAAAATTAAAAGGTTAGCAATTCCATTGTTCTTTTAATGCTCATTATTGGGATGAAGTTATTCATTAATATAAGGATGTTCTTAAAATTATGGATATTAAGAGTAATTAGTTCATTGAATAGGAGTATGGATTACCCAAAGGGAACCATTGTTTAGAATTGATGAACATTATGTGAAATTGGTTACTCTTATTGCATTGAATCAAAATTAAATGTGAATTAAAAGTTTGAAGGTTTCAAATACTTTTAATTTGAAAAGTGTATCTACTAACATGTATGGTATAATTTTTGTTTTATGAATTATATGTAATTGTTTATTAATCTTGGATGAAGGAAATTCAATTAAGTTGAATTTGGATGAGTTATATTCTATCAAAATTAAAAGGTTTAGCAATTCCATTGTTCTTTTAAATTGCTCATGTTATTGTGAAAGTTATTCATAATATAAAGGATGTTAAATTATGAATATATAGATTAATTAGTCATTGATATAAGGATGTTATGGATTACCCAAAGGTGAACCATTGTTTAGAATTGATACATTAATTTGAAATATGTTACTTTATTGCATTGAATCAAATTAAATGTGAATTAAAAGTTTGAAGGTTTTTCAATTACTTTTAATTTGAAAAGGTATTACTGACATGTATGGTATAATTTTTGTTTTATGAAATTATATGTAATGTCCCATTTAATCTTGGATGAAGAAATTCAATTAAGTTGAATTTCGGAATGATGAGTTATAATTTCTAATCAAATTAAAAGGTTAGCAATTCCATTGTTCTTTTAAATTGCTCATGTTATTGTGAAAGTTATCATATATAAAGGATGTGAAATTATGAATATATAGAGTTAATAGTAATTGATATAAGGATGTTATGGGATACCCAGGTGAACCATGGTTAGAATTGATGACATTAAAGTTGAGACATTTCATGTACTTAGTAAAATATGTTTGTATATCAAAGATAAACATACATATAGGACTTAGTATGATTGATTGTTATTTAAAGTGTATATGGAATTTGTCAGTTAATATAACCCAAAGGTGAACTTAAATGAATGACTTAAATGAGAACCTATCAGTTGAAGTTCACCCAAAGTGAACGTTATGATGACTAGTGTAATAATTTGTTTGAATCCATTAATTTTAGCAAAGCATTAATGTATGAGCTTGTGTATTATTTCCAGCTTACATGAATTTATCAGGTTTGAGCAACAATGTGGTTAAGTTTAATGGGCTCAATTATGCTGATTGGTTAGAACAAATCCAGTTCCAACTGTGTGTGTTATACTTGGACATGGCAATTATGATGGATGAAATGCCCGCAGCCATTACAGAGACTAGTACAAGTGATGAAAAGTCTCTTTATGAGGATTGGCATAGGTCTAACAGGCTGTCACTAAACCTGAGAATGTAAAGTCTTCTATGCCTAAAACATAAAACGCAAAAGAATTCATGAAACTGATCAAGGAGTACTCACAATCAGACATAACTAACAAGTCTATTGTAGGAACTCTTATGAGTGAGCTGACTACCAAAAAGTTTGACTGGTCACATCCCATACATGATCATGTAACAAATGGCGATGGTAATATTAGCCAGATTAAAGTCAATGAGAATGGAGGTGAATGAGTCTTTTCTAGTACAATTCATCATGAACTCTTTTCCTCCTGAATTTGGCCAGTTCCAAGTGAACTATAACACTCTTAAGGATAAATGGAACTTTCAAGAAATCAAAGCCATGTTGCTACAAGAGGAAGGGAGATTGAAGAAAATGAAAAATCATTCTATCCATCTCACAACTCATGAAGGTGTTATCTTCAATAAAGCCAAATCAGGAAAGAAGAACAAGAAGGAAAAAACCCTAATGAAAGTGAATAAGGGCAATATCCAGAAGGACCATAAATGTTTCTTTTGCAAGAAAGTAGGTCACTTCAAGAAAGATTGTCCGAAAAGAAAATCTTGGTTCGAAAGAAGGTACATTTTGTTTCTATAAGTTTTGAAGCAAATTATAAGTGAAATGAGTGGCCTAATAATTACCGGTGGGTGGAGTCTGGAGCTACCACTCATGTTTATAATATATGCAGGGATTCCTTTCAATCCAGCCCATAAAAGGGAACTGAAAAAAAAAGTATTATATAGGGGAACATAATGAATGATGGATAAAGGATATTGGGACTTACAGATTGATTCTAGGACACTTGATTATGTCTGATCTTGAAAAATGTCTCTATGTTCCTGGTTTGTGCTAGGAATTAATTCTGTTGACAAAGTGGATTATTTAGGTTTTAATGAAGATTGGAAAAGGGTATTTTTCATTGTATAAACTTTCGTACTATATGGTTCTGGTACATTATTGGATGGTTGATATCGTTTAAATCTTGATGTTAATTTTTCTGGAATCCGTGTTTAATGTTAACATGTGTTGTAGAAATTGTGGTGCAGAAAGGAAAAGAAGGTTTTTGCTTTCTTATGGCTAAAAAGATTAGGTCACTATCCAAAGAAAGGATGTTGAGCGTTAGTGATGAAAAAATGATAATTTTACCTCAATTGGATTTTGATGACTGGGATGTAGTATTGATTGTATTAAGGGTAAAACAAACAAACCACATATCAAAATATCCCGCCACAAGAAGTAGTCAACTTTTTGGTTAATACCCCACATGATATTTGTTGGTCCTTTGACATTAAATCTAGAGTGGTGAGAAAGAAGGTGAGAAAGGAGGGAGGAGTGGAAGGGAGGGGATTGTGTATATATATATTATATATAGTATATCTATATAGATATATTATATATATATATTCTATAATATATATTATATCTATTACATTGAAAAAAATCTCAATCAGTGATGCCCTTGACGGTGTTATAAATGAGGTGAAAGGACAATTAGATAGAAAAGTAAAAGTAGTGGATTTGATAGAGGTGGTGGTGAATATTATGGAAAACTGATGAGAGTGGACAATGTCCAGGTCCCATTTGCAAGTTTCTTGAAAAGTCGGGGTATATGTGCATATATACAATACCCGGAACACCACAACAAATGGTTGTAGTGAAAGGCGGAATCGTACTCTTATGGTATGGTAGGAGTATGTTAAGTCATAGTAATATTCCTTTTCTTGTGGTGTATTCATTAAAGATTGTGCCATATCTGGTTAACAGGGTTCCAGCAAAACAGGTTCCTAAAACTCCTTATAACTATGGGACTGGAAGAAACCAGTTTGAGACCATCTTCATGTTTGGGGTTGGTACGACAGAGGTAAGGTTATATTAATCCACATAAAAAGAAGCTTGATGCAAGAACCATTAGTGGTTACTTCATCGGTTATCCTGAAAAATCAAAGTTATATAGATTTTATTGCCCTAACCATAGTACAAGAATAGTTGAGTCTGGAAATGCTCGGTTCATTGAAAATGGTCAATTTAGTGGGAGTGAGAAATCACACATAGTGGATATTCAAGAGCATACTGATAGTGTTTCTACATCTAATGTCTCTTTTGAAGTTGTTATCCCTCTTGTTGTATCACAGTCACATAACAAGCAAAGACAACAAGTTAATGTTCCAATCCCACAAAATAAACATATAAATGTTGAGCCAATTGACAATGAGCAAGTCATAAATGAGCAATTGATAGAGGAACCACAAGAAGCAGCATTAAGAAGGTCTGGAAGGGAGAAAAAGACTTGCTATTCGAATGATTATTGTGGTTTACTATGTTGAACATGAATGTGGGGGGGGGACGTAAGAATTGATGAGCTCAGTCTTTTTCAGACAAGCAATTGGAAAGTAATAATTCAGAGAATTGGTTGAATGCTATGAAAGAAGAATTGAAATCAATGGATGACAATAAAGTATGGGATCTAGTTAAATTGCCTAAGGGTTCAAAAAGAGTCGATTGTAAATGGGTCTTTAAGACTAAACATCACTCAAAAGGCAATTTGAAAGGTATAAAGTAGATTAGTCGCAAAGGGTTTCACTCAAAGGAAGGCATTGACTACAAAGAAGACCTTCTCTCCTGTTGCTAAGAAAGGAATCTTGGAGAAATTGTTTTGGCTTTGGTGGCTCATTATGATTTTTAAAGCTTCACCAAATGGATGTAAAAGACCGCTTTTCTGAATGGTGACTTAGAAAGAGGGACGTTTATATGACACCAACCAGAAGGTTTCACAATAACAGAAAAGAAAATTTGGTGCGTAATCAGAAATCAATATATGGACTGAAACAAGCTTCCCGACAATGGTATCTAAAATTTAATGATACCATAATTTCATATGGTTTTGTAGAGAACACCGTTGACCGGTGTATATATATAAAGATCAGTGGGAGTAAGTTTGTTATATTGGTTCTGTATGTTGACGACATTCTTCTTGCTGCTAATGATGTTGGTATGTTACATGATGTAAAGAAGTTTCTCTACTAGAAAACTTTGAAATGAAAGATATGAATTGAGGCATCTATTGTGATAGGCATAGAAATATTTCGTGATAGATCAACAAGGATTGTTAAAAGTTTGTCTCAAAAAGGCTATATTACAAAGTGTTTTAAAGAGATTCAGAATGGAAAAATGTTTCCTGGAATAGTTCCAATTCAAAAAAGAGACAAGTTTAGTCAAATGCAATGTCCCAAGAATGATTTGGAATGAAAGGCCATGGAGTCTATTCCTTATACGTCAGTGGTTGGGAGTTTGATGTATGCTCAAACTTGTACTCGGCCAGAGATATCATTTTGTTGTTAAATGTTAGGCCGATATCAAAGTAATCCCGAAATGGATCACTGGAAAGTCGCAAAGAAAGTTCTTAGGTATTTACAAGGTACCAAAGAATACATACTCACCTACAGAAGGTCAGATCATCTTGAGATGGTTGGCTACTCGGATTCAGACTATGCTGGATGTGTGGATTCAAGAAAATCCACATTTGGTTATGTTTATCTATTAGCTGGAGGAGCAATTTCTTGGAAAAGTGCAAAACAATCAGTCATTGGTACTTCCATCATGGAAGCTGAATTCGTGGCATGCTTTGAGGCCACGGTTCATGCTTTGTGGTTGCAGAACTTTGTATCGAGGCTTGGCATTATTGACAGTATTGCTAGGCCGATAAGGATTTATTGTGATAATTTCGCAACCGTCTTCTTCTCTAAAAATGACAAGTACTCAAAGCGTGCTAAACACATGGTTTTGAAATACTTGTCGATCAAAGAAGAAGTGCAGAAACATAGAGTGTTGATTGAGCATATTGGTACGGATTTGATCATAGCAGATCTGTTAACTAAATGACTACCGCCCAAAACTTTTATTGGCCATGTTGAAAGTATGGGCATTATGGATAAGTCAATATTAACATAATGATGTTATCTATCTATATGGATATGTATAGTTATATGCTTGTTCTTTCTTGACACTTGTGAATTCAATTAAAGTTATGTTTCTCTTTATTCTATTGTTATCCACATTAAGTTATATACATGTATTATTGATTGTGGTAACATGTTATATCTCTTTTAGAGACATGAAAGTTAAAAGATTGATTAAAGTTATGTTTAGTTGGTTTGATTATGTGATACATGGAAGGAATCTTGTCGTTCATGACTTTTGCCCGTCATGATTCGGTCATTTCAATTCATATAAGGATGATGACTTGATAATTCTAATGAATGGTGCGCACTTAAAGTTTAGTTTTAGATCTTCAAGTCATCACATGAACCAAGTGGGAGAATGTTAAATTATATTAATATTTAAGATTGGTTCATGTAATTTAAAGTATAACTTTGATGTACAGATTCTAATGTGATGATTATTAGAATATAATGTATTAAAGTTATAGGGATTATTTTAGAGTTATTAAAATTAATCCCTCTCTTCTCACTTCAATAAAGGGCATTTTGGTATTTTATTAAAGTTGATTAAATATCATAAAAGAGGGAAAAAGGTTGAACTACGGCTGGCAATTTTAAAGTTTCTAAAAAGAGAGAAAGAATAGTTACGTTCTCTGAAAAGAAAAAGAAACTGTGACATCCTTCAGAATTTCTATATCATCAAGAAAGCATTAAAGAGGAGTAAGAGAAGGGAGAACATTGACAAGAGAACATTGACAAGAAGAAACTTTCAATGGATCCAGGTAAGTTTTTTTTCCACTGTGTATGAGAGAATAGGGAGTATCATGAAAATTCAAGATCCTGTGTGTGTGTTTTTCATTCAATTGAAAATCAAAGAATTGCTTACAAATGTTGCTCAACACATTTGTTTTTGGAGCGTTGTTTATAGCTTTAAGCGAGTTTTCCAAAAACATCATTTAACACATTATTTTGCAAGATATAGTGAGAGGTTGTTCAAAAAAACATATTGACGCATTTTATGAGGATATCGTTCGATGATGTGTCTACTAAGAACGCTTTGACTTATAGCTTTTCTTTAAAAATTTCAATCTCACAACGCTTTTTCATAAGATGTCTTTCATTCAACGATATTGTTTTCACAAAGGTAATACTTGGTCCAATGTTCATTTTGTTTATGACTTGTTAAACTTCAAAACATGAAGACGTTAGATGGTCCAATCTTATAAGCGATCTTGTCTTAACATGTTTATGCTTGTTATCGATTATGCAATGTTTTAAATTAGTAAGGTGAATCCTACTAAATTTTGGATGTTACATTGTGGTATCAAAGTAAGTCGAACCTAAGGAGATTTGTGGGAAATGGGTGCTATGTTTTTGTTATGTTGGTTGTGTGTTTGTTTTAGTGATAATTGTTGAAGAGCTCAAAACAGTCCATCATTAGAATGATCATAGGGATTGCTAGTTTGTTATGTTGTCTTGGGAAAGTATAAGTGTCTATAGAAGTTTTGTGGGAGGTTTCACAAGGTTGATAGCTTTTTTAACATGGTTGATACGAAAAGATCATTCTTTTACATGGGCAGATTAGTGAAGAGAGTTTTTAGAAAGTTGAAGAAGAGGTTGATCAATGCCTCATTATTGTTTATACTTGTCACAGGGAGACATTTTGAGATTTATTGTGATGCATCACACCAACAGATTGGGGTGCGTGTTAACGTGGGTGAAAAAGGTGGTGATTTATGCTTCTCAACACTTGAAAGTTGAGAGGAATTGTTCTACCGGTGACTTAATGATTGTTGTACTAATGTTTGCTTTAAAATAGTAAAGACATTATCACTATTTAACATATATTGAAGTTCAAAATATAAAAGATTTATACTAAAATTCAATTATTATTAGTTTAATATTTGTTCTTTATGTGATTGTTGAATAAAATTTTTTTAGTGCATAAAAATATATTTCATTAAAATTAAAAGGAAGAGAGTAAAGAAAAGTTTAAAATATTTTTAAATATCAACTTTATTTGTTAACATTTACAAATTTTGATAAATATTTTAGTTATTATGAAATTTTATTTAATATTTTATTTTGAAATATATAATTATAATTTCTTTCTAAATATTTGATATTGGGAAAAAGATGCATATTTTGATATTAAATGTTTGATAATATTATGATTATTTTTCAAAATTTTATTACTTTGTAATAATTAATAAATTGACGTTAAAACATAAAAAAAAGTAAATATGAGATATAGGCACGATTACAAGTGTATACTCCTGACCCGAAAGAGATGGAAAAGTGACAATTTTTTTTTATATTTATTAGATTTGAATATACATACGAGAATTTTATTTTTTTAAAAATAAGAATGTAATAACAACTAAAGAGTCCTAAGTAATTGCATTATTAATAAAATATCTTGATAATATATATTTATATTTTATTAAAACTGGTTATTTTTAATATTAATACGACTTAACTAAAATTATTTTAATTCTATTCTTTTCTTACATTTAATTCAAAGTGTTTATACAACCATAATACATATTTAAAAGTTTTTACTCCTTCCAAACCTACTTATAAATAACACAAATTGATGAAGTCAAACAAATTCTAAATAATTTAGTTTGGAAGCATTTCACACGTCTTACATCTTAATTAATTTAATCTACACTTTTCTATATCGAGAAATGAAATGAAATTAAAATTAGAAGAAACAATAATGAGAATAAATATTGGTATATAGTGGAATTAATGAAGGACTAGTTTTGAAGGGACCCACTCTGCAGAAGATGTTGGAACATGGAAGGTAAGTCAATTATGGAAACCTCTTCTTAAAGTGAACATCTAATTCCAACCAAAGCACAAAAACACACTCACTGCACATTCTAAACCTCTGAGTGAATCATTCGACGATTATTAATGGATAAAGTGACAGAAGCAACTGACAAACATAACCGATAACCAAGTGCCACCCTGCACCACTTACAATACCTTTTACCCCCAACTCTTGCTTTGCTTCAAAACCCATTATTATTCGTTTCCCTACCCTTTCTTCTCTTCTTCATCGTTCGCATCAAGCCTCCACTTTTTGCATAACCTTTTGATCAAAGTGGGAACAACATAGAATGCTTGTGTGATTCTCTATTTTCTAGTTCATGGATAAGTACGAGGCTGTTAAGGAATTGGGGGCAGGCAATTTTGTGGTGGCCAGGCTTATGAGGAACAGGGTCACCAAGGAGCTCGTAGCCATGAAATACATCGAGCGTGGCCCAAAGGTTTCTTCTTTAATACAATAGTTCCATCAATTTATGATTTTTTTTTTTCACAACCCTTTTGTGTTTTTACTGTTAAGGAGTTGAAGAGATGAAGCATAACTGAAGAAAGAGGAGACTTGTTTGTATTTGCCTATTTGTTGATTAATTCCCCTATGATTTGTTGTCTTCACTGTTTATTAAATGAAAGGCTTAAACTTTAACTTGTTTTTTCTTTTTCTTCAACTTCAATTTTCAGATTGATGAGAATGTGGCAAGGGAGATTATGAACCACAGGTCCCTTCGGCATCCCAATATAATTCGTTACAAGGAGGCAAGGAATTTCATTTACTTCTTTTATTTAACATGCTGGATCACTTTGTGTTGAGCACTAGCACTGCACATTAATGAATTATTTGCTGTTTCTTTTCTTCTACAATGGAATGTTGCTTTTGCAGGTGGTTTTGACTCCCACACATTTGGCAATTGTGATGGAGTATGCAGCAGGAGGAGAGCTCTTTGAGAGGATATGCAGTGCTGGCAGGTTCAGTGAAGACGAGGTTAATAGCTTTACAAGCTTTGGTAATTTTCCCCCTTGCTTTTTGTTTCAATATGTTATGTTTCACTTTCCTTTGGTTGTAATGTTCAGGCTAGATATTTCTTTCAGCAGCTGATCTCTGGTGTCCATTTCTGTCATACAATGGTATGTTCATGCTCAAGTTTGTGGGAAATCATGGCAGGTTCTTACTGAAAATCATGTTATTTCTCACATATGCTCGTTTACTGTTCTTTTGCAGCAAATATGCCACCGAGATTTGAAGCTAGAAAATACCCTTTTAGATGGAAGTCCTGCTCCTCGGTTAAAAATTTGTGACTTCGGTTACTCCAAGGTATTGGAATTAGCATCATCCAGCTCAAAATTTCAGTTACCGTTAGAACATTTTTTAATGTCTCGTGTCTGTGATGTAGTCATCTTTGCTGCATTCCCGACCCAAATCAACAGTTGGAACACCTGCTTATATAGCACCGGAAGTTCTTTCAAGGCGAGAGTACGATGGAAAGGTACTATATTAGCTTCGTATGGTTCTTTAGAGTTCCTTGCATCTTTCATAGTTTTGTTGCTTTGTTCTTCTGATATGCTACCAAGAATGAAGTATATTGAGTATTTTACATGCTCACTTTTGAACCAATGTTAATGATTATATGATGTACTTTCTGTTTCAAAATTTGTGTTAGTTGGCTGATGTATGGTCGTGTGGAGTGACTCTTTATGTCATGCTGGTTGGAGCATACCCCTTTGAGGATCAGGATGACCCTAGGAATTTTAGGAAAACAATTCAGGTATGCTTACTCCTTTTCAATACTGATTTGCACAATGTTTCTTATATTATTTTTGCATCACTTTTATCCTGATTTCCTGTTCTATTCTACAGCGTATAATGGCTGTTCAATACAAAATCCCTGACTATGTTCACATATCTCAAGATTGTAGACAACTTCTCTCTCGTATATTTGTTGCAAATCCATTGAGGGTATGTTATAATATTGCTTTATGAGCTCGACTTACACTTTCATTGCAATTCTGTTAGACTTGCAACTGATCAGATCATGTCATATCATGTGTTCCATGCCTCTTTTATTGTCTAAAGTATATATATTTTATTAAAGTTACTTTTCAACCTTGCGA